ACCTCCGATGATGGTTGTCGTCGCACCAGGCACTTGGATCTTCACCCGCAGGGCCAATGGGCGCGGGAGACTGCGGGAACTATGGGATAGCTATGGAATTGCTACCCACAGTGCAACGGTGCAGAAATCGATGCTAGCCCCAGTACTTGGACGCACACCACCGAATTAATGTGCTAGTGTGGCCGCATTCATTTCGACTTTATACAACCTGTTTCTCAAATCCGAATTATCTAAATTCGGATTAATCCCGTAGTGTAGACATACCCTAAGCCATGTGCCAGGTCCACCAGTAGCGAGCCTGCTAACTGACAAAGGCAGATGTGACTAAATCTCTCTAATACTCTGCTCACTCCATGGCTGCTTGTCTATTTCAGATTCAATTTCACGTCAGTTTGGATCTACAAAGCACTTAGCAGGCTGGGACCAAAGTACGTTATGCGGTAGCTATCCATTTACAACAAAGCAAGACAGCAACAGTCCAAGATAGCTATGCTTTACGGGGGTGCTACGGGTAGATTGGCCAGAGACTCCTGGGTGTAGGAAGCAGAGCATTTTCAAAAATGGGCTTGCCCCTGCTGTGGAATAATTTACCAGAAGAGATCAGACAGAACCTGCCCCTACCAATGCACTGGTCTAAATGCAAAGACCCATCTCTTTAATAATGCCTTCCTCCAGTAGTAGTAGCTCCCAACAATCCACTAATTTCCTCCTCTCCCACCCCCACACACTTCAGGTGAAGACAAGAGCAAAAAATGAAAACAAGGGAGAGGGAGAATACTGCCCTTTAGGGCACGCACACACAGCACTATCTTTAATTACATGGTACTTAGGCCTTATTGCAGATATGCCTTAAATAGTCCCAGACTAATCTGCACCAATTGAGCGCAGCTCTGATGCAAGATGTAGATTCCCAGCAAGTAACTCCACTAACCCTGTAGCTTTTGATAAGTTTCAGTCAAATTTACTGACAGCAGTAAGGGGGTGAAACCTATAGCATTCTTCTGAGAACTGTTGGCTCAAAGCAACATCCTCAGAAGATTTTGTAGCTAAAACTATAGCCTTTCCAAGTTGAAATAGGCAACACTAGTGTCTGTCATTAGACAACTTGGGCGCAGTGTTTGTATCTACTAGGCTCATGTGTGTCTTTTTCTCAATGTAACAGACATCCAGACTAAAATAAAAAATAAATATCCCAAATAAAAAACTATAAATTCTAAGTGCACAAGAGTGGGACCCTTATCAAAATAAATTTGATTTTTGTGTGTGCTTAAGCTGCAAATAGTTCAAGAGAATTTGGTGAAAGAAAAGAAAACCACCACTTTATAGAACAAATTCCTTACAAGATCAGAAGCAACATTCGAGGAAGCTGCAGATTCCCCAAATAGCACAGGAAGATGACCTGATAACTAAGGCAGCTTAATGACATTTATACATAAATAATAAGTAGGACAGTGGGAAGGCAATTTAGAATTTTAACTATTCCAAACCCAGTCATATGCAGGAGCACAGATCCAACAGCATGAATTTATTGCAACTGATTCACCTTTTGGCAAATTAGAAATTATACATGTAAATGACACTTGCACCGCTAGTATGCCAGTATAGAAATGCTGGGCTAATGGTGACTTAAAACACCAACTGAACAGTTCCAGATTAGTGCATTGAAGTTGCAGAAATTATACACAATATTTCTCTACTGATATTTATCTGAGACAATTACAGTTAAAGATAACTTCAAGGAGTGCTGCAGCTAGAATTCCTGTAAATAATTTTATCCCCAATATTTGCACAAGTACAGTTTTACATTTCAGTGTATTCTCTCAACAGCCTTAATAAGGGTTATGCAGTTCAGGGATTACTTTTTATCTATTTTTTGGACAGTGGACATTATTTTGATCTGCTAATATCTAAAGAAAAATATTTAGTGCTCCAACTAAAAAAATATATTGGTTCTGTTAATTCTACCAACCTGTGCAATTCTTCAGTTTTGTCTTCAGTAGGGCCCACGGTTAATAAGCAGTGGCGAAGGATGGCAGCCATATAACGAAATTGATGAGATTCATTCTATATAAATATAAATTATGAAGATATTTTTCATTTTGACGATTGCAAATGAGGGTTTCAGGTCACTAGAATAATAAAAATTAAAGATGGAAAACACCCATTAGATCATATAATCTATTTCCTATCAATAAAGGATTGCTCTTTCAGAGTTCATTTGAATGCTTGGTGCAGTCTAGTTTTAAGTTACTCTTGATCCATTATTGCCTCTGGGAGATTATTTGGGCTAGATTCACAAACTTTATGCACCTTTATGCACTGGGATTCACGAAGCTTGAGTTAGGCACCTAGCCTCCCTATAGAATGAATGGGGACAGACAGATGCCTCAGAATGGGATTCACAAAAGCCACTACACGGGGAGGCTTTCCACTTAAGTTATCCAATGGGAGATACCAAGGCAAGGGATTTGTCCTAAGCCCTTGCCCCATTTAAGGAGGTTGGCTCTAAGTCCAGGTTGCAGGGAGGTTCCTCCCTTTGCAGGGCTGGCAGTTATAAAAAAGTCACTCTACTCTTAGCATAGGAATGTATGCCATTTTTGCAAGAAACTGGGGGGAGGAGGAGAATCTCCCTCAACAGTCAGGGTACTCAGTTGGGATGTGGGAGACTGGTGACTCTAATCCCCCCCTTCTCCTGAGGGGGAGATATTCTGAGGTGGGGCTCTCTCAGGCTAGGTCTACACTACCCGCCTGAATCGGCGGGTAGAAATCGACCTCTCGGGGATCGATTTATCGCGTCCCGTTGGGACGCAACAATCGATCCCCCGAATCGACGCTCTTATTCCACCAGCGGAGGTGGGAGTAAGTGCCGTCGACGGGAAGCCGCAGAGGTTGATTTTGCTGCCGTCCCTACAGCGGGGTAAGTCGGCTGCGATACGTCGAATTCAGCTACGCTATTTGCGTAGCTGAATTTGCGTATTTTAAATCGACCCCCCCGGTAGTGAAGACCTGCCCTCAGTCTCTGGTGTTGAAGCTGTTGTATTGTGGATAAATAATGAAAGCGTCATTGGGCTGGAGAGAGAACAAGCACTAGAATGACTTTGTAGTATAGTGGTTCGAGAACTCATTTGGACAGTGGGAGATCCAGGATCCTATGACTAATTATTTATATACAGTGGAACAGTTTCAGCAGGAGAGAGAGAATAAGGGACCCCACATCAGACTATCCCATTGCCCAGTGGTTAGGGCACTCACCTGAGAAGTGGCAGATCCCTGTTCAAATCCCTTTTCCTCCTCAGGTGGAGGGGGAACTTGAGCCCGGGGACTCCTACATTTAGACCACCGGGCTAAAAGTTAGGATGAAGGTCCTCCTCCTCCAGCTGTTTTGTGTAAACTCATCTAGAGGGGGCAATCTGAGAGGTGAGCTCTGAACACGCATAGTGGATCAGGCCCCACAGGCAAGTTAGACAAAGGAATGCATGCAGGGCCCAAATTGCACTAGGGTTGGGGGGAGTGGGATAGCTCAGTGGTTTGAGCACTGGCCTGCTAAACCCAGGGTTGAGAGTTCAATCCTTGAGGGGGCCACTTAGGGATCTGGGGCAAAATCAGTACTTGGTCCTGCTAGTGAAGGCAGGGGGCTGGACTCAATGACCTTTCAGAGTCCCTTCCAGTTCCATGAGATAAATAAATATATGGAGATATACCTATGTCTGGATGCCCAGCATGGGGCTACACTGAGCATGCTCAAACACAAAAAACATAGGCATAAGGAATATTTATAGTAAAAATGTAGGAACAGAGGAACTTTAGGTGCCTACATGGTTTGGCAGCAGCAGAGTAGGGGTTTTGTAAATCTCACTGGAGCTTGATTCTACAATTTAGGTGCCTAAAGTGTTAGTTAGGCACACAAGTCCTTTTGTGCATCTAGCCCTTCCAGTCCAATAGATTTCATAATTAGGAAATTTATCTTGATATTCAGACTAAGTTATCCTTTGCTCAATTTCAACTCCAATTTATACCTCAACTATCTTCTCCCTTTCCCTGCCATTTACCACCAAATTTTGGTATGTGTTATATTACCCTTAGCCCGCCTCATTCCGTGAAGTGTCACTTCTCTGTAAGCTATCTAGAATGTCACTGCCATTTTTTACACTCCTGTATCTCACTGCAGGTTTGGGGGGGGGGGGAGGGGAAGAGGGAAATCTCATTCTGGGGGCACTAGATCTATTCCCCCTGGAAGCCCACATAGCTGGAAAGGGAGGCAAAGCTAAAACTCCCAGAAGAGGAGCCAGCCCTTGGTGTCAGAGGATTTGTCCCTTGTTGTAATCTGGGACAGTGGCAGCAACATTCCTTCATGACTCCTGGGCAGAAGTGTCACTAACTCGGCTTTTGAAAGTTTGGACTACATACATTCCTCAGTTTAACTGGGACAAAGCAGCCAAACTCCTCCCACCCCTATTCCCCTTCCCTCGGTCTTTTTAAACATCTTAATCTGCTATCCTCCATATTCCTCCTTACTCTCTTCCTTTCTCCTTCAGTCCTTTTCCTCTCCCTTATTTAACTTGTCTACTTTTTCCATTCCAACTCACCTTATCTTTGCCCTATTTTATTTAAAAATGACCTCCTCCACTTGTCCCTCCCCAAAAAGCCCTAAACAGCAGCAAGAAAATACATAATTAAAGTGTGCCAATAACCACCACAATCATTTAGTTGTATGTGTTACCCCTGTACCCTTACCTATGTCTATTTTCTTTTTGACTGTTAGTTCCTGTTGTCAGTGAATGTCTCTTAAGTGTTTGTACAGCACCTAACACAATGGGATCCGATTCTGATTGGGCCCTGGGGTGCTACTGTAATATAAAATGTTGGACCACCACCACCTCCTTCAAGTTGATACTCAATATCAATTCTATTTTGGCATTGCTACTTTGAAATTCTCTCCTGCCACTGAATACTGGTGTTTCAGATAGGGGTTTTTCCAGGTTGAATCTCATTTTGTGCTCATAGGAATAAACTCTTTAGATCCCTTTATATTTTTCCATCCTGCCTGATGTTTGCAACATCTCCTAATTCTGCATCTCCAGCACACTCAGTGTATTGTTTATCTCTTCTTCCAGATCATTAAAAGGGATGTTAAACAACACTTTGCCTAACAAGGATCCTTTTGGGAATGGTTTAGAACTAGAGAGAATAGTTTTTACTGAAGTGCTATTTGACTTTGGAAACCTTTAGCAAGTAAGTTACCATAAAAGCTTTATCTCAAAACACAAAATAAAATTTCTAAGCCTAGAAGAGATCCAACACTCGTGTGATATAAAATAGAGTGACCCTATGCAACAGTACTTCCCTTTCCTCATTAGGCTCCCTCTGCATAAGCTGTTTCTTCAGTTCAGACTGGCTTGTTTGGCTCGTCCAGGGGCAAAGTTCTGAGATGAAACCTCCACTTTTCTAAAGATATTCCCCCAACTGAATCAGTAGGAAATGCCATTGCTGAGACTGCCAATTCCCACTCACACAAAAACTCCATCATTTTTGAGGTTTCAGTGCAAGAAAGCATTGGGAAAGATGCAGTCTCAACCTTCTTGACAAGTCCACAGTATCTGTACTCAGACCCTTCCTTTCAGGTGTTAGAAAATGAAGACAAAATAACCAAGAGTTGGCAAGACAGCTAACTGCTGCTTCTTCCCTATAGTTCAGCCAGACCATGGTTTCACTTGATATTGCAACAGACTTCTCAATGTCCTGTAGACTATCAATTGGGCTCCTGTTGGAAAATTCAAGCAACGAACAGTTTCTAAGAGCTTAGTTCAGTGGACTAGATCAGAGCTAAGACTACTTTTCATGCGATAAGTCCCTAATTACAGACTGCCTAGCTAAAAAGATACAGAAACAGACATTAGTGCACTGTGACTGCTAAGAGATACCATATTAAACTTCAATCTTTATGTTCTAAAGGAAGAAAACAGTGAAGGGCTACTCCCTTTTCAAAAAACATGGGAAGCCCAACTTGCTGCCTATTATTTTTTTTTTATTAATGATTACACTATTATTTTAGGCTATTTTGAAAACCAACAAACATTGGATGGGGAAAAATGCTTAAGGCTACAAATTGATCTTATCGGGGCAAATTATAGCTCCAGTGAATTCTGCTCTATATTTTAAGATGGGCAAGACCCAGGAGTACGTGGTCTATCCCGTCTTGAAAATATATTGAAAGATCTGGTGATCAAAATTAGAATAGACATCCCCATTTTGTGACAGCTGCAGTTCCCTCCAAGTCAACCAGTTCCAGTATGATCAGGTCTTAGATGACACCTCACATTAAGCCTGAATGTTTTAGATATTTTTAAGCAAGGAGCCCAGGGCCATGAGAGGTAGTTGCTTTATGTGCAGTAAGCAAAGCATGTTACATAGCCACACTTCCCTCTGCAGTCCCTTGGTCAGGAGACAGAACCTTCATCTAATGCTACTGGAAACCCTGAGATGGAAAAGTAGAATTTATCAGCATCAAGACTTGGGTTTCAGAAGAAGGAGTTGCTACCCATGAAGTAAAAACATAACATGGCTTGAGTCTACAGTTTAAAACTTTTGATTTTCTGACCAGGTAATTCTGTCTGAGGGAAATAAAGTCATTTCTTTTCACCCAACTTTTTTCAATCCATACATTTATATACACACACACACTTACTTAGGAGGTCATATTTTCCACCACTGAGCACACACATTTAATGCTATTGTTTGTCTAGGCAAAGGTAAGGCATCTTCTCCAGTCAAGATAGAGACCTTCTGTTTAAGTATTGAGGTTAAGTCAAAAGCAAAAGCAAGATAGAAGTCCCTTGCTTTCTTCTGGCTTATCCAGCAGTATGAAGACTACACTATCTACTGTGACATTTAAACCTAAACTTTTCTATTTTGGGATTTAAATTTTTCTTCAGGGCCTCAATTTTGGGAAATTTTTAACTGAATTGTTAATTTCAAAACTCTTCAAGTCCCACATTCCCGGGTGAGTAATTAAATCCAAGCTCTCATGTTCTTAGGATCGTTAACCTTTCTGCAGATTAGTCTAACACACTGATCTTACACAAAAGAATCTCTGCTTATAAATAAGACATTTGTTTAGAGGTTTAACTATACTGGCAAAATTACTATAGTGTAAATACCTTTTCTTTAGACTTAGCAGTTGTAATCATATTTACAGTGCTTGATTCTAAAGAGCTTACAATATAATTTTAGGCTGTGATACGAGTGGGGTCAACAACAAAAAAGAGGGGAGGACAAGGAAGGCTGATGTGTCATATTCCAGGTGCCGTATGCTCTCTCAAGGCAACTGGTTTGATATTCATCAAAAGAAAAGGTAAATCCTATTTAAAAATTACACCAACAAGGTGCATGTATTGCTTCTCATCATCATTTAACATCCTTAGGAAAAAAAGCACACCTCTTTCCCCTCAAACAAACAGAATTACTTGTTCTTAAAAAAAGGTGCTCTGTTTGTAATTGTGCCCAAAGAAAAACAATCAAGTCATTGTTCCACAGCCCTAACAATTGCTGGCTATAATCCAGAGAGATGTTCATCTGAACACACATTTAAAGAAAAAAAAGTTATCCTAACCAACAATATGTATTTTAATGTGCTTAACTAGTGCTTATTTCCCTTTGGAAACCTCAAGCTCTCATCCAGCCTCACTCTCATTAGACATTCAACTGCATATTTGAGTTTATATTTAAAAACTTAAAAAAATAAAATTGTATTATACCAACCATCCAACCCCGACTGTATAGCTACTTTCCTCTGAGGACCTCAAAGCTTTTTCTTAACATTAAGGATTCATCACCTTTTTGAGGCCCTAGTTCAGACGGGTACTTAAGCATATGAACTTTTAAGTACTGTCCTAAACAAGGGAATGCCCTGCTCTGATGACTGGGCAACTGCTTCGCCAATGTAACTATTCGGTGGCTGTGGTTCTTGCAGACAAAATAAGTCCAATCAAAGAATTTCAACTCAGACCGTACCTCACTGTGGACATTCCAACTGTCGAGTGTCACATTAAAGAGAGCTTTGAGTGCCTCAATGGCACAATCCGTTTCTTGCAGCGATAAAGGAGATCCATCATGCTCTTCAGCAGCTTTGTACTTGTCTGTCCATCTTATGCTAAATGAACTTTCCAAGGCTTGAGTCAAAACCTGCAACCCTTGTAGCTCATGATGCAACTGTGACCTAATATCTGTGTGCAGAAGTGACAGGAGGAAGAGAAGGCGCAAATCAAAACATTTAATGTCATCAACAAACTGTTGGTCCTTGCATTTTTTCAGTAGATTGCAAAGCATAGCTGCAAGGTTCAGTTCCAAACTGAGTTTTTGTGCAATGGCACTATTAAAAACTATGTTACAGAGGCATTTTAAAGCTTCCACTATAACAGGGAAATTGGACACATCCTCCAAAGAATCTTCTGTCATGTCTAGCTTTGCCAGCCTCATCAGGATCTGCATGTTTTCCTTTGTTGTCACAGGCACTAAAACCTTCTTATCTCTGGAGAGAATCCGAAGGGCTTCGAGACAGGCAACTTGATATGATGTTTTTATGTCTTTTTCGAGGATGTTTAAGATTCCTTCACATAGTTTCTGTGGACACATACAAAAAAACCCACAAAATTTTAATCCTTGTAATTTTGAATGCAAAGTCTCGCTATTATCATCAATCAAATCATAAAACTTCAGCCACTTTCTTCAAGGAACTTGTTTTTAGTCTTATTTTATCTAGGTCATTATTAGCTTTTCAAAATATGAATTACTACAAAAACATTCAGAGAATATCATTAAAGGTTTTTCTTATACATAAAACCAAAATAAATGGATACTGCTAGAGATGACAGCACATCTCCTAGTCACAAACAAGCTGCCAGTTTCACCAATACCTTGGTTCTATACGTTAATCCTATTGTGTCACAGCAAGACTTTTATGGAAGCAGAGAGATCCTTATAATAACCATTATATTTTTAGTTTAAAAAAAGAAATCATACTGTTTTAGTAGTCTTAAATATTTGGAATATAGTACATACCTCTCTTGCTAAGCTTGTAGCTAAATGGTTCTTCATGTGCATACACTTCCCTTATTTGAGATTTAATGACCCAGTCAGAGTCAAAGTTGAGGGAAACTCAAACTGGTATTTAATAGTCTGTATGCTAACAGACAAAAGAGGGCATATTAAAACTAGCAAGACGAGAGAGTGAAATGTAGACTTTTAGTAACTTAAGGTAACGAATACGCAGTCATAGCTAGGAGAGTTTAAATAATACCTGCAAAACATAGTGACAGGCCATCCTGATCAAGAGACTCAAAGATTGTCCCGTGATCAAAAGATAGAATGCTATACTTATGTTACAGGCAGTTAATTTGCATTGCTGTTTAGAAAAATACAAGTGATTTAAGAATTAGAAGATCAGAAAAATAACATTTCAATTACAGAAAGATTTAAACACACTATTCTGATTATTTTCTACAAACTAAAACTCAGACAAATCAACCAAGAGAGAGGAAAGACAGAATAGCAGAGACTGCATGATGGAACAGGGCTCCATAAATTTTTTATTGCCACATATTCAGGATGACAACATTACTCATGGGTGGCAGAGTCACAAGTCTAGTTATGAAAGTCTTCCCATATAAGTGGCAATAAAAACTTTACTGCATCCTATACCACCCAGATCCTTTGGTTTTTGACCTTTAAATCTTCCTCTGCTTCTTGTCCCTTGAAGTACGTTAGTTACTAGTGCAACAGTGTAGTCACTTTTCTGGGTAGTTCTTAGTGACATCCACTGGTGCAGTATGAATCAATTTATGACCAGAACTATATGCCATGTACACACACACTTCTCAGTTTCTTATGAATACTAATATACTGTAACAGTTTCCTACTTAAGGAAATGTTGCAGGAATTGGATTTTTCAGCACTAAAATAAATGCTCGTCACCCAGACCGAGAGCTAGAGATGAAAGTTTCACTGGACACGCTAGAGGGAGTTTTGTTACAGTAATGATTAAGAGAATGAAGAGTCATGTTGAAACAATGTATTATTCAACTAAATTAAGCAGGTCAAACTGTGGTACAATGCTGTGTGATACACCAAGATGTTAAACAGGAAAGCATATGATATTATAATCAAAACATGAGACGAGTTAGTTATTGACTGTCACACCTAGCTACTTAGTACACTTGGAACGTTTTGGTTTAAAGACCTACCAGGTTGCTGCATTCTTTGCCTCTAAAAGTTTATCTGGAAATCATTTTTGATCAGCACAGATGGGGTTATATTTACATCATGTACACTAAAATAGACAGTCACTAAAACACAGAATTTCAGTCTCTCTGAAACACTTAGTATTGTTAAACCATGTCTATGAAATATCCTGTAATCAGCAAGACATACGAAAAAGGAAGCTTAAGAGTGGGATTTTCAAAAGCACTCAACATAGGCCTAACTGCTTTCACTGAGGTTAGTGATAAAACTCTCTGACTTCAGTGGGAAAAGCTGGGCAATGCTGAAGACTTTGAAGATCTCACCCTTCAAGTTTTTAAACAAAAATGATTATAGTTTGGAAGTAATGGTCAAATCAACCTCTACAGCTCAACTGACCTTTCACAAATATTTTAATGTAATTAAAAAGTTTTATGTATAATTATCTTTGCTTATAAATCGGAAGCAGCAGTTACTAAATCTGCTAGATTTTGATAAATAATCCAGACAAGCAAGAGTGGGCAGCACTGGGGACTACAAACAGAAACTTGCTAATAGCAGGAACAGAATAAATTGACCCTTTTTCTGCTAGAGTGATTCAGTCAAGAAACCTCTGTCTCTGCTGACACAGTACTGTAATCCACAGTGGCAGAAAAACTGCTTACTGATCCAAACTGCCACTGTGAAACAGTGTTGTAGGAGAGGTGGTCTCTGAGATAACCAAGTGTGGGCAATTCCCCCCCCCCTTTTGTTCTTTAATAGTGGTAGATGGAATCCCATGGATGAGAATAAATGGGCTGTAAAAAGAGGTGAACAGCAATTTCAACAACTGTGGGGCTGGCAGAGCAAGTGTCTGGGTGTTAACAGGACATATTGGGGCATTGCTGAAAGATGGCAGAGTTAAGGTTGCATGGACAACCTTAACTGTGCATTTCCAGGCTTTCAGAAATTTGAGCTTTGCTCAACTCAATGTTCTGCAAGGAGAGACTACTAGCAACCTTATCTCTGCATTATCAGTTTGCCATTGAATTTCCTAGTTTTTCAAATAGGAAAAATATGTTAGTAGTCATTTAGGCAGTTGTACATATTATGTCGCACAATTTGAATACCAAGCCTGCTAGCCCACTCCCCACACATCAGCTAGGCTCCACTAGCTCTGCTTTAGCACATCTCCCAGCCATGTTGCTGATCCATTCAATGCGTTCCTGCTTAACCCATGGTTGTGAGTTCAATCCTTGAGGGGGCCACTTAGGGATCTGGGGCAAAAATCAGTACTTGGTCCTGCTAATGAAGGCAGGGGGCTGGACTTGATGACCTTTCAGGGTCCCTTCCAGTTCTATGAGATAGGTATAGGTTCCCTCTCCAACTTGCCCCTCACTACTGGCGTTTTCTGATCTATGCAAACTCAGTTTGATTTGTTGTAGCTAGTGTACAATCATGCTGAGAACAAAAAAACGTAATGAGCCACATGGGGATCGGGCTTTTTTGTTGTTCCCCTTAGTGAATCACTCTTTCCATTTGGATAATATCAGGAACTTGAAAAATATACTTTCCATTACTGCAATATACAAACCAGTAGCTGAACACGACTAGCCTATTGCGTAGAACAGTGTGACTATGGATGGTTCGCTGTTATAGGAACTAACTGGAATTTAAGGGTGAACAGCAAGAGTTTTGCTAAAAATAAGTATCTACTTCCAAAGTTTGCTAGGTTCTCTTATATTTGATGTACTTGCATTTTCGAGTTATGTCAAAGGGGCCTAAAGCATATAGAAGCACGCTTTTCAAATACACACATCTATATATTATTCTACTTTAATGTGAGATTAAAGAAAATAATTTGCCTCTACAACTGGCTCACTCTGAACTGCATGCTGATCCTATTTTCCTGTACCAGAGCGCAGAGTGTCAAAAATGCAGGAAAATCCAGCAAAAAGTAGTAATTGAATGTGACCCTTAAGTAGTGTATTTTTAAACCATCTTCACTTATCTTGCCTCTTATAAGCAATGCAGTTGGGACTGATCCTGCATTCTTTTGCACACCCTAAATTCCACCAATTTCAATGGGAGTTCAGAGTGCCCAAGGAATGCAGTTTAGGGTCCTGGTAGGTTGTGTGAAAAACTCCCAAACTCAAACCTACCCATATGCCTTTGTTAAATTTGTAATCTAGATTATCAGTAACCTCAAGGGTCAGGTCTTCTGCTTTAAAGCTAAATTGATATTGGCTCGATCTTAAAGCTTTATGATTTTAATGCAGCATTGTGGAGGGAGAGAATTTGACTTGGGAGGGTGATGGAACATCCACCTGCTTTAAAAAAAATATTCTTAACAATTCTACAGTTATATGGCTTTGTTTTTTTAGAAAATGTCTATTTTAGAAAGGCCTCAAATAGTTAAATCATGGTCCACATTGTTTTTTGGAAAGGGGAGGGGGAGAGCAGTGATGGTGAGGAAATCAGTCACATCACAGGTTTGCTATGAAGTTTCATGTGCTTTATAGTATGAGAGCACTGGCAGCATCCACATCTTTGGCCTCAGAGAATGAGATTATGTGCCAGAGCACATGATGTTCCCAGTCACTTGAATACATGGTAACTGGCAAGTCATTCTGCCTTCTCCTGGGCTGGCTTAAGTCTCTGTAGTTCATTGTGTCTTCTAACCAAGGTTTTTCATAGTTTTAAATTCTCAGTTGATTTTAATTAAGCTCTCAGTAGGGGGTTGATGAGATGGGCAAGTTTTAATTTATTTAATACAATCTACTTTAGCAGCTGCTCAGAGGGCAGAATGTTAATGAGGTCAATAGGAGCTCCACACATAAAACAGATGCAAAACTAGGTCCCATAAAAAAATAAATTTAAAGGGGGTGCGGTGGGGGACAGGCTAGTGAATTAAAAATAAAGATGAACAGTGAAATAAGTACAGTAGCCCTCATTCTATATATGCCCCCACAGTTTTGCATTGACCATGCACAATGGATTATAGAATGTGTCAAAGAAAGAAGTTAGGAGTTTCTGGCAATCAACTAGGAGACAGCTAGGGATTTCAACACCGAGCAAGGTTGTTTGGGATTGCTGGATAAGTGGAATAGCTGGCTATTTCTGCTAAAATGATCAGCATTTTATGGCATTAGATTTTGGAGCGAAGCAACTATTGTGCTGAGTGAGAAAGGGTATGCTCTTTACATGTACTATTTCAAGCTCAGGGTATTCTCAAGATGTCAGTACTGCACTGGTTTCTTTTCAGTGCAAGTTATTTTCATAACACTGTCAAAAACGATACATGAAAGCTTAGATTCTAGAGCACAATTTTGTAACAGTGGCTAGCGTTCACAGCAAATTCTGTGGCTGCAGAGTCGCAGAATACAGAAGCCCCAACTTCTTGTTAT